CAGGAAATTAATTAAAACCAATTAAAATTACCTAACACTAAAAAATACCTCAAAAAAGGAGGTGGTGATTTTGTCCCGCCTTAGGTCCCAAGAAATTGATAGTTTCATCGAATTATCATTCGATTATAGGGCAGAACTCCTAAATGGAGGATGGTGTATTTTGGTAGGAAGTATCGCAAATTATCTCATTAGTATTTCAAGATTGCGTAACTTATATTCAGGAAGTGAAAGCATACGCTTATAAATTGATATCTAATGATCATATTATTATTACGTGATCACCTACTGATTCAACGTCATTGCTTATAGTTATGTAGTTATATAGTCCAGTCATTTATGGACATTTTTGGTTTGGTTCCTTGCTTTTGCTTTTGCATTTCAACTATTATAGGCGGATTCTTTAACAGTCTACGCCCAGTTTTTGACTTTTTACATTACAATGTGCTCAGTGTACAACTCAGTATGTCAGCCATAATGATTAGTAATCATGTCTGAGGATAATTGATTTCTTATCATGTCGTAAATTGTCATAACTCCAATAATTATAAGTAGTAACTTTAGCATCCTTATTCCTTAATTAATAAATTTATTAACAATCAGTACTCAGCTGCAATTAAAGCTTGTGAAGCTTCATTCTTTAAATTAAGAGTTTGAGAATGTTCATTGTTCAATTAAAAACAATCAGTACGTTACAATCGTCTCAGTCTTACTTTAAGTTTCAAATCGTTAATTGTTTTATAACCCATTAATATAACCATTTTTGTAACCTTTGTGTAAAATGATTTAACTTATTTTGCTAACCGTAATATTTTGTTTGATTTCATTACAATCTTTGACTCGGGCACCCTCGACCTATCTCTAATATTAATGTAAATTAAGAAGTTGTTATACTTATCATTAGATAATACGACTAAAGAGTAAAGATGTATATCACCGGATAGCTTTTGGTAGCCTTGTCTTTATCGGGTAGTTTGTTGTTCCAGGAAAATAGTAGTGGCCAGATTATATGGCAAGAATTTAACTCCATTAGTTCTATGACATCGTAAAAAATACCCAAGCTTATCTATTTTCATTGAGGATTTTGTAATATTTAATTTAATTTTGATTATCTTAATATTTCAAACTACAAAAGTTTGGGAGTTGGGGCTCAGTAAAAATAAAACAAGTACATAAATAGACGATGTGACTAAAGCAAAATAAATGTTCAGGTGATCAGTTACTTGTCTTCCTCGTAATTTTCAGTCGATTAGATCGATTAAAATCCACCGCACACGATGCCTTTTGCCATGTTGATGATTCCCATGAACTCTTGAGGGAGATTGAGTAGTTCCAGGAGTGCAGCTACATCAGGGCCGCAGGCTACTGGGAGACCTGGGAACAACAACAACGTTATTTTATAAATCAGTTACTATCAGACAGTTAGCGCAAGAAAGCGTTCAATTCGATACAAATTACAAATATAGATATTAAACCGAAACTTAAAGAAAAGATTAGACCTGACCTTATGACACTTAATAAAATGAATGTTCAGCTTACCAATCTCGATGAGTTTTCCGATAATCTCGAAGATGTTGGCGGAGGGTCCATTCTCCACCTGCACAGTAAGATCCTCAGGACGGAAGTCAAAGGCGGCGAGGGTTGTTGCTACAACTGCAACGAGAAGAATGAAAACCTTCATGTTTAGCTGATTGATGTAGGACTAGTTCGGTTAGTTAGAAAGAGTTGATTTGCTGGTAGTTGTTACACACCCTCTTTTATAGTAGTGATAGATTGAATGTCAGACCATGACTTGGCACAGGTGTTGTCTGGACACGATGGTGCGAAGTCCGATTTTAAAACCTAAAAACCTTTGTCTTCTGTAAACTAACATATAAACTTTTGTTACAATGTGTCAAAAGGAGGGAAAAAGAATATCGGATTTATTCAAACAATATATCGCTTTGGACTTGTTAAATTTTACATTCATTTTTAAAACGACGTTTAAGTCATTTAGCACCTAGGGACACTCGAACATTAATCGAGGTTAAACGTGTAAACCACTTTTAACGTGGTATTTTTCAATATGAATCCATAATACCAAGATCAGTCAACTAAATAACTAGGGCAGAGTTTCAAAAATGGTATCATGAGTTTCAACTCGTCCTCTCCTTGCCCTCAGTTTCTATCCTTAGCCTGTTTTGACCAAGTACTCACCTTTTCAACCTGTTCTCAACTTATTCTCGATTAGGGACTAAATATTTTTAGTGGTTCTTCAGGAAAAGCAAAATTCACTTCATTCGCCGAAAAAGTTCAGAAATCATATTGTCCCATTTTCAGTTTTTGAGGAAGGAATTTTCAGGACCGAAATTTCTCACCCGCATCTAATTAGTTAAAACGAATTTTTTTCAATTTCTGTCTCATTTTCAAATATGAAAAGATTAGACTGTTCATAGCGGCTTGTGAATCAGTACTGCTCTACGGATAAGAAACCTGGACACTGACAAAGGCTCAAGAGAAAAGTTTGGACGGGACATACACAAAGATGTTGCGTATGGTGCTGGGTATCTCATGGAAGGACAAGGTCAGCAATATAACTTTGTATGGTAGCCTACCAAGGCTGTCAAACAAATTACGAAGCAGGAGATTAAAAATGGCGGGACACTGCATCCGACATCCTGAGCTACTTGCCAGTGATTTAGTCTTATGGGAACTTACGCACGGTAAAGCACAGCAAGGCCGACCAAGACAAAGCTACTTGTCTATGTTACTGAAGGAAGTTGGGACAAACTCTAAAGAGGAACTGCGAACCCTGATGCGGGACAGGGATATATGGAGGGGGTTTTCTGGCGTAGATCGGACTTAGCTCCGACATAGTAGTTTCAAATATGATATCTTAACTTACATTTTTGGATACTAATTACAATCTTTTAGCTTGTGTGTTGATAACTGTTGCTCTCTTATCAGTAGAATCGTTTAATTACACTGCGCTCACCGTGTAGCCTTGTAATACAAGTTAAGTACATCATGGACGAATTGGAATTATTAGAACGTTTGTCAGCTCGTTCTGTATTTTTGACTGAAGCCTACGAGGACTTCCATATTTGGATAACAAAACTTGAAGAAGCCTCAACCTGTGATGAGTCAGAATTTTCAGCAGAACAATTTGAAAAACCAAGCAAACCAACTAAGAAAGTTATGTCAAAGTTGTTGTACAGTGTGTACAAAGAGACGAAGGTATTTGTCAGAGAAGCTGTCAAAATGAAGGAAGATGTGGAGGAGTTGAAGAGCTCTCTTATTCGGTCACAAAACTCGGTTATCAAACTGCAGAGTGAACTTCTTGAGGGCAAATCAAAGCAGTTGGAATCCGTTCAGACCACAGTCAAATCTGCCGTTCAGGAAACTGTACAAGCTGAAATCAGGTCATACAGTAAAGCTGTTTCAAAGGACCCGCCGGAAACTGCACTGACAGAACAGGGCTTGAAAATGGCAGTTCAGAGTGCTGTATCGAAGGAGGACCGCAGTAAAAATGTTGTCGTGTTTGGTTTAATGGAGACGGATGATGAAAAACTATCCGATAAAGTAGACGAACTGTTTGAACAGATCGAAGTGAAACCACGGTATGAAGCTGTCAGGATTGGAAGGAGATCAGCCGACAAGACCAGACCTATCAAAATCTTGGTCACAAATTCCAATAATGTCCACGAGATATTATTGAAATCGAAGAACCTGAGACGGAGTCAGCACCACAAAACAGTTTACATTTCTCCAGATCGGTCACCTGAAGAGCAAGCCAGACAACATCTGCTCGTTTTGGAGATGAAAGAGAAGGCAAAGAAGGACTTGAAGAGACGATATTATATCAGAAGTGGTATTATTTGTTGTGAGGAAAAGATATCAGAGTGAACGATATGTAATTATGAAGTGTTTCTTTTGTGTACCTTAACGGGTGACACTCGTAAAAATTCTAATTATATAAGACCGTTGACGAGTCTAACTCGGCACGCGTCTTGGTAGTTTTTAAACTTTATATGTGACATATTTTAAAACTAAAAGTTTTTGTGTGAATTAAAGTACATTGGTTCTTAAATTTTTATGAGACACCAGTTTATATATTTTTAAAAAAAATTTCTGCTCTGAGGAAGAGAGAAAGTTTTTTTTGGAGAGCCGCTCAGACATGGGCACCGTACTGTGTAAATTATTTAAGTATATTTCATGCAATATCTTTGTCGCATAAGAGCGGGGTAGTAAGTACAGTGTTTCGTTTTCGTTTCGTTTCGTTTCGTGGAATTATTATTATATTGCCCAGTAACCAATTAGTCAAAGTTTAAGAGTCCCTTAAAGGATATAACAGTAACACATGTGTTAGGGTCCTCATTTGGGACATATTCGTCTATCTTTCATACGAACAATTCCATACTGACCAAAACTGTTCTTTATTGGTGCAATCTAAAATGTGTCCATCAAAAAATGATGTTTGAACAATATACGAATTGCTGTGGACAGGTTTTAGTGATCCTTATGGCTATGCAACTTGTGATTTTGCTGCGAATTTAGTAAATTGTGTTTTATTTGACGACGCGAGTGAAATAATTTTCCCTGATTGACGATAAGCTTAGGACAGGTTAAGGTCTGGATTAGTTGAAAACAGTTGCTAAGGACACGTTAAAACTCTTGATTGCAAGTAAGCAAGTTATTTAGTTGACTGATCGTGGTATTAAGAATCTTTATTGAAATAGTTAGACCACGTTTCAAGTGGTTAATTCACATTTAACCTCGATTAATAGTATCCAGGTGCTAAATAACTGAAACTTCTTTTTTAGACGAATGACAAATAGAAATTAATCCCGCCCGGTGAGAATTAACAAGTCCCTGGTAATGACACATTAAAACAAAAACTTATACGTTGGTTCAAAAAAACAATAGTTTTAGGTGTTATACTTATAATGAAATTAAATAACTTCGCCCTGCTAGCCAGACGTCACCTGTGACAATTAATCGTCAGACGTTAAATCACTCACTTCTAGTACTATAAAAGGGGGCATGTTACAATCACAGCATTACTTTAGTTGCATCTTGTTAACAAATCTTAACCAATCCTAAACATGAAGGTTTTCATTCTTCTCGCTGCAGTTGTAGCAACAACCCTCGCCGCCTTTGACTTCCGTCCTGAGGATCTTACTGTGCAGGTGGAGAATGGACCCTCCGCCAACATCTTCGAGATCATCGGAAAACTCATCGAGATTGGTAAGCTGAACATTCATTTTATTAATTGTCATAAGATCAGGTTTACTCGTTCTACAAGTTAACAGTTTAATATCTACAGGGTGGGCCAAAAGTCAGTACCCATACGTTGGCCTTAATAGCTCCGCCGTGTTTTATATTTGAGAGCTGTTGCTTTGCAGATGGCACACTGTACTTACTGGTTCGAGGATTCCGTCGTCAAAATTTGAAAATTCGAATATTTTAGACCACGCCCATTCAATATTAAAACACCTATATTGTTTTCTCTGAACATGCTGAACGCCTAATTTTTTCAGAGACGGTAGATTCTCAAATGTTGCATATGATCTGAAAACATGAGGCAAAACAGATTAGAAATAACGAAGTTATCAAGCATTTTCTGTATCTCGTTAACAAAATTGACTGGATGATTATGTGACACCGTGACACGACACCTTAATTGGGCACCCCTAACAATTCCCAAAATGTTTAACGGGGTAGTTAACATGGTCAAATTATCACGTGATTAGGTAGACCAATCACCTGATCACACGTAATGAATAAACTCGTTATGCTTTATATCTCGGTCATCTGAGAAGCTACAGTTCTAATTCTTTCAGGACAAACGTAATTCGAAAATCTAAACACAATTCAATAACATTTAGCTTGATCCGACTATCCAAACTGTCATATAAATGTGAAAATGAACCTCCATTTGAAAAAAATGAACGCGAATATTTTTCGAGTTGACAAATTCCTCGAACCAGTGGTGGTACTAAGTCATACCAGAAAGAAGTATTTACATTGGGCACTCAGTGACTGAGCTATAAAGGCTAACGTATGGGTACCTACTGACTTTTGGCCCACCCTGTATATTGTATCGAATTGAAAGTGTAATGATAAATACGATACGCTTTCTTGCTAACGGTGTGACACTGACAGTAACTGATTTATAAAATAACGATGTTGTTGTTCCCAGGTCTTCCAGTAGCCTGCGGCCCTGATGTAGCTGCACTCCTGGAACTACTCAATCTCCCTCAAGAGTTCGTGGGAATTATTAACATGGCAAAAGGCATCCTGTGCGGTGGATTTTGATCGATCTATTAATCGACCAAAAGTAAAGATGACGAGGAATAGTAGTAATTGATATATAATAATTAATAATTAATAATAGTAATTGATCACCTAACTATTTGTCTTGCGTTGATCACATCGCCTATGAATACTTACTATTTGCGTGTTTTACTTTGCCAATCTCCCAACATTTAATGGTACAAAATAGTAAGATAATCAAAATTAAATGAAATATTAGTAATATTATTACAGAATCGGAAATGGATTATTATGTTATCTTTGAACCAAAAGAGTTTGAAAGTTATGAAGATCATGACGTTAGGAAGGTGGTCACCAGAATATTTCTAAATTACAAGAATAGTATTATGGCTAAAATGCTAGTTGTAAAATAATTCCTACAGGGCCAACCTCATGGCCCTCATCTGAATCTAGCTGAGGTTGCCTGCACGTTCGACATCAATCTGTATTAATAATAATAGCCATTTTATTTATTAATCATTATTGTTTGATAATGAATAATAATATGTGCGTTATACAAAATAAAGAGAGAACAAGATATGAAAGTGATGATTTTTAGATGTTTCCAGAACGTTCCAAAACGAGGAATCAAGAACGGCTTTAGAAGTGCCGATTCCTTAATCCACATGTCAAATTATCCTCTATCTACAATAAATTAACACAAACTTAATTTCAAACATATAACCTAATCATCTTGTCGAAAAATATGAAATATGCATAATGATATAAATGATATATTGATACAGTGCCATTAACTCCATACCATAACCTGAATTATGGAATAACTGACATTGTTCTTGGCGGAATTGTGATTAGATTCGTGGTACGTTGTGATGGGAACCAGACACGAGGGCGGAGGACACAAGGGCGGTAGGACACAATGGTGGTGACACTTTTCTGAGGGGTGGACACGAGGGCAAATCACATGACTCACTTTAACATGGACACGAGGGCGGAACCAAACACCGTCCTGAATGATGAACTAGTAATAAACTTGTAACATCACACAATTTCATTTTGGGTTGAGGTAAAGTTTAGCTCGAATAATTGGATCTACTCACGTGTAAATTTGAAACAAAATATATACTGATGTGACAAATAATCACCCAGATTTAAACGGGCCAAAAATTGAGAGATTTTCATAAAATATCTCAGCCAACTCAGCAGCAGATTTTGGGGTTTGGTAACGTGCTTAGACCAATCAAACACTGCCTTTATGTTCATGTGACAAACTTGGTCTTCTGATTAAATTGCAGTCGCTGACTCTACAGTTACCAAGTTTAGATCAGGGGTAGAACGTACCAGGACGGGTATTTACTCTGGGCTGACGAATTTCACTGAGGTGTGTTCTCTCAATTTTAAACCATCAATCCTCTTATCCCAGTCTTATCAATCCTCTTATCTCAGTTAAAACGGCCACTAGTACTTATTTCCTTTCAATAAATTTGTAAACTGCTGAATAGGCCTGCTGTAATTGAATGATTGAATGATTGAATATTGTATATGGTAACAGCTAAAATATATTAATTAAACAATAATGTGTATAAATGTAGGATGATGCTTATAAACAAAAGTTAAAATGAAATTGTGTGATGTTACAAGTTTATTACTTGTAACAGCACACGTGTCCTACTTCCTCGTGTCTAACGCCCTTGTGTCCTATACCCTAACAGCCACAATTTTCAGTGCGTCTATTTTCGTCAATGTCCGAGCTCGGACGAATATTTTCGTGTCGAAACAATTTCGCAGTAGAAAATATTGAATATTGATGTATGTGGTTTTCATAGCGTGAAGAAAGTACGTGATTTTTTCTAAGTTTACGGTAACACAACCATTAACCACTGCTGATTTTAACAAGGGTTTCAGTCATGTGCACCGATAATCTATTGAAAGATAAGGGAATAACATTTCTCATAATTACTTTTTCTGCGAACCTGAACCATGAGATAACGGCCACTAATTCACAATATCATGAAGATACCGCCACCCTTCTATAGTTCTGCACCACGGCGTGTTTCAGAAGTTGCACTACCACAGTTACTCTTCCTCTTTTATGTTTTTATTCTCCTCCATAATCACAAATAGTAAACCCCCGTGGTTATGCGCTCATTTTTACCTTTTTCAAACGGTGGGTAATTTTTAATAAGTAAGTTGTATACTGTGTAATATAGTGACTTGTTGTATAGATCGAATATATCAGCATTTCCTGATCATTTCCGCCTGCGAGAGCTCAGTATACAAGCGTGGTACTGTCACGTGGTACTGTCACGTAGCACTTCAGCCGGTATTTCAGGTTGTGTGGTATATTTCAGTCTGTGTAATGTAGTATGAACAATGAACAGTCCTGGTGGTACTAATCATATTATCGGCTTAATTGCAGTGACAATGCAATTTGTTACACGATACTGTCTTCTACTTCTTTCCTCTTTCCTCCGTGATAAGACAACTCACAATGTGGGTCACAATATGGGTCCCACATGTTTCTATTTTTCATCGTGTGGATGTTAAACTTTTCACATATAGGTACTCCTGCTTGAGTTTACAGTTCATGTTTTTAACTCTATTTAGTCTTGATTAATGTTTTAGTTTCAAAATGTTTCCACTTCTAAAGTATCACTATAAATATAGTTTCCAAGTGCCAAGGTCTAAACCCAAGTCCGGACACTAGTTCCCAGACATTCGTTCGTGGTATTTAACCATAGACAAACAAAGGAATATTGATCAAAGAACAACAAATTTCACGGTTCACTGTGCTCAATGTTTGCTAAATATTTGACCCAGCGTGCAGAATTTGCAGTATGCTTGTCACTCAGTCCTGTCTCGACCACGTTTCATCACTCTTCTGTGATGTTTGGCTACACGTCAACAATATTGACTGCAGCTCTTTGACAAACACATTTTCAGATTTCAGTAGGGATTTTTTATCCGTTACTGTTAGTATTTAATTATAGTGTTAGACTGTTTGAATCGTGCTACTGTTATTATTGTCATCAGTGTTGTTTAAACCACATCTTCCTACGCGTTAGTGGTCATCCCAGATGTACGATTACATCTTTGATTAATAAAAATAACTCTGAAGTCTGAAGGGTTTCTTTTATAGTACTATATGTAAAACACTTTAAACACAACGAAATTACCACAAAACCGATCAGAATGGCGTTCAAACAATCATTGCCCGTGCACTCACTGCACGTGCGCATAACAACACCGTTACTATGCAGCCTTTTGCTTTTTACCTAATTTGCACGTGGGCGGTCAAACAAACAAACATTATGTTTCGATTACCAGTTTCCAGTCCTCAACTTCAATCCTGATTTCTAGATGTCGTGCTGATGGGTGACGTGCTATCCTGATAAAGTAACTTATTCATTATTAGTTATTGCACCACTGCCGAACCACTGCTGCACCACTGCTGTACCACTGCTGCACCATTGCCCATTTCCAATCCTAGCATCGAGCTCCTTGCAAAGGTTTCCCAGAAACTGTTATTGATTTATCGCAAGACTGTTTCAGGATCTTGGAAACATGCATAATACAAATACATTCAGATACATACAGATACATTCATACATATTACATACATACAGATACATTGATAGGCAGGATGTGTCCACCATATTGAAAATCAAATTAGGTATGAGTTCTAGAGAATCACTGTTATTTTATTGGAAGGCATCGTCGTGATTTGATTCTGGAGAACATTTTCAGTGAACACATCTCCTAATTCCTGAAAATTGAATCTAAACTAGGAAGTTAGGATCTTAAGTCTGAACATACCGAATAGTTAGGATCAGTATTTGAATTACCCTTACCAATCTGTTCTTCGCTATCTAAAACAGTAAAACTGGTTGAGCTAGTTTCAGATGAAATTACATTTATCTCGCTTTTGCCCGATTAAACCCGAGATTACCCGCTATTGTAGAGCTGGACTCGTCGACGGTCTTGGAATATTTGAACAAATATTTAACGAGTATCCTCAGTTAAACCCGCTATAGCCTATTAAACTTGCATCTTTGTAGTTTTGGCTTGACTCCACAGAACTGTTCATATTGCCAGCTTACCGGTTATTGCGTTAGTCATGCCAGTTTCTAGTGGACAGTTATCCGTGCTAAGTTTCGTATCAGTCACAACGGATTTGATTATTATGATCTTCGCCCCCTTTCAGTTTCATATGATTATGCATACTCTGCTCCTTTTCCTCTGAATAATTTTCCAGTTCTAATCGATTTTAGTTTTGATTTTGTTGCGAATGAGGGGTTCCTTGTAAATTATGTTCTGGAGTATTTTACATATTTCAACACTTGCGCACGTTTTTGTCATATTTTTAAGAAATCTATACATAGAACTCGAATCCTATTTGATACACAATCGTTACAATTCGTGTTTGTAATTTTATAAGAGATGCTGTTCGATCAGTTCTTGTATTTTACATTCTATATTCGTTGTAACGTATTATTCTCCTCCTGTTAACAGATTGCAGAATGGCAAAGCGCTTGATGGGGATCGTGGTTCTAGGCTGTCCTTCAGTAATTAAAGGTGGGTTTTGGCAGTCTGCCAGATGTTTTACCGTTTTCTGGTTCACCAGACAGATGAGCCGAGTCAGGCACGTTTCAATAACATACTGTATGTTATAGTATTAGTTACGAAAGTAGTGTAGGGTTGGCAAAGTGCTAACCACGCCGTTTAGCACATCCTAACTACTGATACCAAGCCATGCCAGCTACTAAATATTCAACATCCTGCACACGCCGGTCAGCAGATATAACTCTTCCCACCACTTCAGGAACAGCCAGCAGAATGTTTGAACAGAGGGTGGCTGCAAGTTTCCAGCTCTACGAAGCTAACAAGCAGCACAACCCACTGGTTCTTTGTACTGGATATCACATTGCAGGTCAGCTCATGTGAACAAGGTCACCTGATAGTGATCCCGTACCAGCACATTTTTAAAAGCTGTGGGTCACTTTTGGTAAGCCAGGTTATCACTTGTTATTGGAAATTATCACAAACATTACCCCCTTTAAACATATCATCCACCCAGGAAGCTCAGAGGCTCAAGCTAGGGCCCTCAGGAAGTCTCTGATAAATAAGGGAGTGCCGGAGGAGAATATAGTTGTGGAAGAGTTATCCAGATCTACCTTGGAGAACGCCGTTATGTCGAAACCTATCCTGGATGCATATGGAGTAAAAAACGTTGCTGTGGTGACTAACAAATTCCATGTTGATCGTTCGAGGTACAGTCCACTTAATTATTTTCATTCTTATTAACTTTCTGTAGAAATAGAGTTCCTCACAGATTGCATTCTTCGACTTCACCATTAAACGACCAATCTAATAGTAATAATGATATAATAATTCAATACAATTTAATTTGGCTGATAAAAAACACTTACAGGTATATATTTGAGAGCATGTGTGACGGATACAACTTAACATTCGAAGCAGCTCCGGATGGAGTTACTAAGGAACAGCTTTACGAACTTACCAAACTGGAGAATAGAAAGATGGTCAACCTCAGAACCAAGATGATTCACATGACGGCTGGCCCTTGAGATAATTTGGTAATTCAGAATTCAGACGAAGAAGATTGGGAGAATTTCTATTTAAAGACAAGGAACGATTTCGTTTTGACTGGAAATTAACTTGATTGGAAGTAAACGAATTTTATGAATGAATCATTTCTTAATCATTGCGGACCCCATCTGGCAGTATTTCTAAATGTCTATCAAACGCCTAACTAAGATATACTCTATAGAGTATTTCAGATTTATTGTAGCTGTGAAGTGTTGGACAATTTACCTTTTCATACAAATAGTTTGACACTGCCACGACATCAGCAGCTTTTTGTTTTTATGATAATTTGGAAGAGTAAAGCTTTATTACTGCTCCTTTATAATTGTGATACTGATAATCTTAATTGTGTTATTGTGGAGTATGATATTCCGGATATAATACTTCTCGCATTGTATGCAGTGCTGCTCTTAAAATTTATATTTTCCAGAAGAACCAGATTATACTGCATTTTATGTATTGCTCAAGGGGGACTTCACACATTAACCAATCATCTTTAGGTTTCGAAAGCTCACGCTACTACAATTTATAAACAAGGGCTATGTATTAAATAATAGACTGAGGCCAAAAGGTGTCCCAAATATGTTCAATGAGTTCCCCGAAGTTTAGGGACTTTTGAAAAAATATAAATTTCGCTTCGATTGAACCCTGGTCTACCGAAATCACCTATCTTGTCATCTTGGCACTGTGCCATCAAATCTGATATTTTCGGAAGATGACCGTATTAATGGTGTGAACTCTCCTTTATAACGTCAATGCATTTCCTTGCAAGGACTTTAAAAGGTTAAATTTGATTTAAATTATTCGTTTATAATGATATTTTTACAGAAAGTTAAACAGCCCCTTGTGTTTTAAGCAAAATAATCACTAAGGAACCATCCTGGTGAAAACTTGAAGGTTACTGTGTCGAACATGTAAGGTTCAACTTTATTCAAGATTCATACAAAACACAATACATATTATTTTTGACTGAAATTTGTGAATGTTTCAATGTTAAGTGATATTTAGTTTATAAACATTGGTAGATTCTTGTTCAATATCCGTCCAACATTGGTGACATTACATGTTCCTCACTGTAATATTGTGTTTATACTTTTGTAGGACCAATCTTATGTAAATTCACAGGGGGCTTCGATGATGAGATGTGTCTAGTTCGATTGTGAACTTGATAAGTAATAATCAGTAATCGCCATCCTCGGCTATGTGAAATGATATTTTTCGTTCCGAAAATTGTTCATTAAGATAAAGCCTTAAACGGCGTTTAATAATTTTACCCCCTGGTGAATGGGTTTTACATTTTTATAATCGAATTAAGATTTATTGATCTATAACCTATATTTTTGAAAGCTTGGATTTGTTCGAAATATTTTGCATGATTATTTAAAAGTTTAAATGCATCGACCAGCAAAATTATAAGAGGCTTGACATGTTAAATTAATTATGTTATGGCAAATACATATCGGAGTTTCATTTCCCCAGAAATTGTTTGTGTAGCAGTAAAACTTATCAAACTTGAACAATGAAAATATAAAATTGTGTTGTAACATATATACAAGTTTATAGGATTAGAACACAATATGAACTTTAAATAACAGAAGCTTTCAGCAGTCTTGGTGGAGTTTATCAAATATCTTTTTCGAACATATTCATCTGGTTGGTAGTTGGTACGTTATCGTCATGATTCGGAGTTTGCAACCTTAGACTATCACTCGTCATGTTAATTTTACATGAATTGGAGGGTCTCAGAATTTATTGAAATATCTTGTCCAATGTCCATAGTAAAATCAGACTATTCAAATATATTAACATAGAATTGCACATATAAAAGTAATAAAATAGTCTCTGCGACCATAGAAAACTAAAATTATAATTAAATTCAAATTTATCATTCTCTCGCAGTTCACTCTCGACTCTTTGTTAGAGTCTGAGATTAATTAAATAATTGTTCTCGTTAAACCGTACTTACTGCCTGTTACCCTGCAAAATATTATTTAAATAGCACATGTAACAGCAGGTTCAGCACACTTAGATTAACTTTATATTAGCTTGGTAAACAATGCAGCTTTATCAATAATAATACACAATGCTTGTGCCTATTGTCTTCTTTAAAAGCAGGCTCAGACTATAATACTAATCCCTCGTAAACAGAATACGGTTGTATTTAATTCCTCTCAGAAAAACGTTTTCCAAAATATTGCTCCTCAGTAAGCTCTACAGTCATAAATTATTGGTATCTGATGTAATAGAACTGTACTATAGACTTAATTGATCACGTGTCAGACTAATATACCCAAACATTGTACCCCAAGTACAGCAAACAAAATACGAAGTTTCAACAAAAATCAAATATAAATAGAATACTTTACGAGACATATTTATATGGAACGAAATTTGGGGATTTTTGGGAAAAATCCCCATATTTTCGTACTACCAAAATTGTGGCCGCCATTTCAAAATCCCACAAATTAAATTTTTATGTGATTGGCTTAAATAGGGTGAATTTGAGGTGAATTTGTCAAATAAGTTGTTTTACGTGTTTTGTGAGACAAGGATACGCATTTCTCAGGTAAATAGAAAGTTACTTAGTATAAAAATTACTGAATAGAAAGTATAACTGGTTTTTTACTTAATTGACAAGCTCAAACTCCTGTTGAGGGAGCCATACACCTGGGACTACACCGGTGAGCAGACTCAAGGTGAAAGAGACGACGTTGAAGACGATTTAAACGAAGAGAATGATTTTTAATTAATTTAGTTTTTCACGATTTTTAAAAATTCCATCAAAAACTGATTTTGATTTCTCTGAAATAATTTAGCGTGAAAATGCGACAATTTAATTTGGGGTACGAAATTTGGGGATTTCTGAAAAAAATCCCCATATTTTCGTTCCCCCATAATTCCGATCCCCAGAATTATGATCCACATAAATATGTCTTGTAAGGTATTCACGCGGATATATCCACAAAGTGTTATGTGCAGACGACTAGGAAAGTAGAATCAACAGCGGACTCCTGCTGCTCCAAAAGGAAGAGGTTTTGGTGGTGATTTTGGGGGTGTTGAAGGGCGATGTCCTCATAAGCGGGGGGAAGGTCCCTCATAGTTATAGGAGGTGCTGTGGGCATCATGGGAGAGTTGCTCACATCATGGTTAGCTTTCCTTCCGTCCGCAAATCTCTCCTGGAAGTGTAGATCGTTAGATTGGGCTATCAGATACCTTTTATATCGAGACAAACATATTGCCTGTTGGACAGTGTTGAGATGTCTTAACGAGGAATAGAATTGCGACTGATTTATTCGTAATGAAATATAATTTTAGAGTTTTAAGTCATAATTATAGGGCTTTTGAAAAAAAAGGACATCAACACCTCTTAGAATTGACGTAATAAGCTAGACGCGCATTTGCGCGCTACGTGAACCTCAACCATGCTGGAACTATGCTGACGATATCTACCTTATGATGTAAAATAAGCTTTCGCGAACTGCAATTTGTACACTGCAAAAACCCTCCATAAATTCCCTTCCGAAGGGATGTTTGAACTCACTGAAGTTGGTATCGACGAAACAAATTTATCTGTACAATATGAACCACTTCACTTCTTATTCTATGTTACAATCGAATTATTGCAGAAAAAGGATAATTTGATGCCTACAACTATGATATAGTTCACGATCTAAAATATGTATGTATTATAAAGTATGAGTGTGTATTCACTGATAAACAAAAGAATTCATTGGCAGTGAATCTCTCAATTCTTCTGAGAAAGATCTACACTGTTGCAGACTCGGCGAAGTTATTGATTAATAATACCTAGATATTGTAGTATGGCTGTATGTGTACTAAATTGGCCGTGTATACTGTTGACATGAAACGGACCCGGAAGCAATCAAATACAGTCTGCCAATATTGTGGGAATGTCAAGAACAATCAGACTCATCACAAACAAATACCATCCGCAAACAGTGAGACAATAATTCCTGATTCCTCTTATAAACTGCAATTACCACCAGTACCACATGATAAAAGTCTCTAAATTAACGATTATATTAGCTTGTTAAGTTGTTAATTCCGAGCACTTTGGTAAAACCTTTGTTTTTGTGATAGCAATGTCACCATGACAATTAGATAAACTACATACATTGTCAACAGTCTACACTCCCAAGTCTCGCTTTTCTCTACCTATTACATCAGTACATTACAGAGACTGTGGTAGGTTAAGGTTTTACCGTTAATCTAATTATCACTGGTAGCTCAACATAAAGGTTAATGAAGGAGTAGCTATTAGATGTGATGACGTGGGATGATGTTATTGAAGTGACACTGGTTGAGCGGAGATAACAATTCAATGACTTAATGATACAGTGCGGTGCCATATTAATGATTTAAGAATATTCAGTGGGAACATAGTCGAACAATTCATAATGAACCTGTCTGAATCTAATTTGTGATTGAGTTTAATGAGTTTAATACCTCAATATCTGGTTTTATTTAGTATCAATACTCAGATCAGCACTAAGTCACTCTCAATTAAGCGATTTTCACTGCACACTACTTTTATTACACAAACTTACACACACGCTTTCACAGATAATTCACACGAGGTAGACTCTCTCTCTCTCTCTCTCGATACGACATGGCCAACATACCGTAATCACATACCTAAGATACCTTAGCGTTGTTAAGATTCGCAATATTACAATTTGTATTACAATTTGTCGCCCATGCTTTGGCGGCTTTCTTTGCAACCCTTTTTTTGAAAGAGTCAACCGAATGCAGAGAGATTATGAAAATGTATATTTTTCTGCCAGATCAAATGAGATTTATAACAAGCGAAATTGTACCCTAATGGTGCCTCTTCCGACGGTACCCTTCTGACGGTACTTCCATTAGGAAAGTTAACGTGCTTCAAGCAAGTACCCCACTAATCGTATATAAAATACCTAACTGGGCAGTGGGCAACCTAGTTAATGGTTATATTGGGAAACCTGGTTAATGGTTATTTGACGCACGCTTGACGCAGGGTTAGCCCACATTTAAACGTTTCTCAACACACAGTTATCCTCAAGGCTTCACGTTCACATGGCATTCAAAACCAACGAACACAAAGAAGATCAACAAAAACAGGGCTTGATTAGAACTCAACATTACATTTAATTGATTTAATTCTAGTAATACCACATTTTGATTTCGCAATTCTCGCACAATATAAATACAGAATATATAGTGCAGAACGTCTGCTTTGTGCTCATAATAACAATTTTTTCTTATCTTCTACGCATCGTGCAGATGTATTTGAGTGTAAGAGTAGTGTGCTCAGGAATCGTTCACATATTACGTAAGCATGCTTTGTAAGCCACTTAATACATAATATATTTACCATGTATACTCTTTCAGACACCCACCTCATTGGATTCACACACCAGATTAACTTTAATCACGCTAGATTCACACATAAAGTTTACTTAAATCACACTATATTCACACACAAAATTTACTTAAATCACACTATATTCACACACAAAGTATACTTAAATCACACTATATTCACAAACAAAGTATACTTAAATCACACTATATTCACACACAAAATATACTTAAATCACACTATATTCACAAACAAAGTATACTTAAATCACACTATGCTCACACAGGTTGTACCTAATTGTTTCACACCTGTCTTCCTGAATCTTCCGTAAAAACAGCGCCACAGCACAGTTTACTTTCTCTCGAACCCTCACTGCCGCCCTAAGATAGCGTTCATTTCATCTTTTCGGGAATCAAATCACGATAAGTTTACTCTATCACCCTTAATCGCTGAACAAATCGAGAGTACTTCGTCTTTATTGAAACTTAACACGAAACTCAATTTTATGATTCTTTGATGGGCTCTCTCCGGTGAGACAAAGATCTAGGATACAATTGATCTTACTGAGATTCAAAGGAATCTAGGTTGGTTGGTTAAAGCAGTTATTATAGGTACCAATGACAACGAAACAATGAAATATTGGAGAAATTTCGTCACCCCTATACTCCCATATCTGTTTATCAAAACATTAGGGTATTCCATGTTTTGCCAATAAACTAGCCAGCATATCTCAGATCAGTAGTCGCCACAATTATTGATCTGCTGTAAGATGTGTTCCCTTATTCGGTCTATAATAATTAATAAGGCTGTAAAACCTCCCCAAAAATAGGTCAAGTATAAACTCATCTAATAAACATCATATTGTATAGCTTAGAGCTCGTTGCTCAACGGCTTTGCCCTGTGGTATTTTTAGGTAGTATGAAAAAATAAAGGACAGCGGCTAAAATCTACTTTAAGTGCTTATTGACTTTTCTTTAATTTTTTTTAGTTGGCGCAAGTTGAGCGAAGAAAAACAGAGCGCAAAATGAGCAAAACTTTGCCTCGCACTCAGCTCGTATTTCACTGGTTTTCATCTCAGTAAATTTTACCCATTGCAATATCAATCATTAAGATGCAACGTGCAAAGGAACGTGGCATGAAATAAATTAGTGCTAGACTATGTAAACGAGATGGTATTGATAACCGCTAATTAGACTAATATACTTTTAACATACCAATATTCTGTAAATTTCCATCATTTTGATATGTATTCCACTGTAAACATGTTTTGAACAGTTATAGAAGTCAGAATTAAGTCAGTGCAAGGAAAAATATTGAACATCAAAATATTCCCTTCGACTTCGTTCTATCCTGTATTATTATCTATCTATCCTGTACTACATCATTCTATCCTGTACTGAGGACTTCAGCAACATCTCTGTGTTAAACCTAATCGTCCAAATCATCTGAGACCCCTTATTTTAAGATCAGACTTGACTGTGTTAAACAAATAAGTTTAATGACGCCTCCTTTGAGATTCAGCAGAGCACTCTTACCAAAAGTTAGAGAATGCAACATAACACATCTGAGTGTGAAGATGAATATTATGGGTGCAACATAAAAGAGGACCTAAAAGTTTGATAGATTTTCATGCCTTATTTCCAGATACTTCTACACTCTACAACATGAACATTCGTTACAGATTTTTTGCAAAAGAAACCAGGACAAATTCTGGTATCTGCTCGTTGACATTGGGACTTCAGTTTTGAAGAACTAAAGTTACTTTTGACAGATTTTGCATTAATTTGTCTTCATACGCACCAAGAAATTCCAAATAAATTATAATCAGCATATTTTGACTGAAGGAATAGAGACTTGTTGCTGATTGGAGGAGTTAGTAGGTCTAGAACAGTAGTAAGGTGAATGTTAGGTAACCTACCTAGTGAATGTGCACACCAACAAGAGTCAGGGTAATCAGAACACTGGAGGAACTAAGAGGAACCCTCCTTCAAGCACCACAGACAGACTAAGAAACTCTATTATAGATGTAGGCACGAACAAGAAACTTTGTTTTGGATAAAATTAGGCGCTCCAGTCCAATTACTTCCTCTGAAAATGGCAAGTAGGTTAAAAAGAGTCCGTCTGTTGATAGTGTTAAATGCTGACGCCCTGTCTGCTATCACTTTATAGAATTCCCAGCAGTGATTCTGAAGTGATGATACAAGCATTGTCTGACACCATACAAGGTCGCTACAACTTCTAGAATGTCTGAATGCAGCTTGCCAAGGGCCAGTGTTACAATTTTGTCTCTTTTTGACTAAGCAACAGATCGTACTTTTTGTTTAAAATCCGATGTACACATTTGAAAAAGTTTTAACTTAGGGATCAGATCTAACAATGCAATTAAAACTATAAAGGTATAAGCGTGCGTTAATTAAAACACTTTTATACTTTCAATATTAAGTCTCATGACTTTATGAGGATCTCGTTATACGATGTTTTGAAGCTCAAATTCTTAAAATATTTATAAGATCAAGCGTTTATGTTTCAGATTTCAAGCCTGTTTACGAAATTGCGACACTTTTGGATTAAATTATAATACATGGCACCCAATATTCATTAGTCTTTAATCTATAACAACTTCCATACATAAAAGCTACACTCTAATCATTAGATAACGGGTACATGAAGGTTTATTGTTTGATAACAGACAGTAGTGAATAGATCTTGGTGGGTTATTGTCAAATGCTGAAAGCTGATTGGTTAAGGACTGTCACGTGTCTTGGAAATATGGTCCACATCCTTCATGTGTATCCAGATTAATAGATTCTATAATTTACAGTATACACAGTGTAAAATCCTATTCAACTCTATTTCAGGGCGGGAAAGTGGCAGGTGTTTGTGCCTGTCTACTTGATGGTACTGGTTGTAGCAGGTACAGATATCACCCAGCACAAGTATACGGTGTTTAGGGGTACACCAGAGTCCAGAGAACACTAATCAACAGTATTAATCTCTCTCTCTCTCTCTCTCTCTGACGCTTCATCTTGAAACTTGCTCTCAGCACATCTCCCTTCTCCCAATCAAACTGATTAGAACTGCGAGTAACTCTTGATTAACTATTGGATTGTTTGTAGATCACGTGGTCTCAATACGGCGCTCTGATTGGCTGATACAAGGTCACGTGGTCTTAACACGGCGCTTTGATTGGCTAATACGACTATACGAGGTCACGTGGTCTCAACACGGCGCTTTGATCGGTGGATACGAGTTGTCTTGTGAATGATGGTGGGTTGTTTACTCGTTGAAACTGGGCCCTTTACAAGTTTACATCTTTATTTACTAGCACAAAAGGGCCGTTCTTACACTATTTCCTATTGCTTCTAGAAACAATATCACATGACAACTACATGTCCATGGGATTGGCTACTGAGCAGTTTCCTTATTCTTTATTGGTTGTTCAGATGTCCACTATTTATATTTTAAGTCCCTTAAGTGGTGCAGTGCAGAAGAAGGAAGCAAGAGAGTTCAGAGCTATTAATAGCCGTGAAAGGGCGCGCTATCGGAAACTAATGTATTGTATAATTATGAGACAGTAGCTGGTATACAGACTACAGTTATTAATAGGGCAATTAACGACATATTGATACATGTGAAAACAACAATAAATATTAGCATATGTACACAGTAAACATATTAACTATAATTTTAATGACCGTGTTCAATATTAAAGACAAGTTTTACCTTGAAGTATGTAAACATTCATATTATTATCGAGTTCATTATTAATACTATTTATTCCAATATCGAATACCCTGAAATATCACGAAACAAGGAAATCGTCGCCACTTACAGCTCACGTAATACTTAATAATACCTAATATTATCTTTACTATCTTCCCTTGCATGCTTCCTTGTCATGCCAAGTACTGTACAAATACAGTCCCGACTCCTTTATAAAACAAGCCACGTGATCACTGTTAATTATCTCAACAAACTGTAGCACACTTCACACTGGTTCAAATTTTAATTAACAAAACTTTACAATTGGTTATACTGCGGCTTTTTGCTAATTGTTTCCTCCCTCAATTAATTAACTGATTTCCTGTTAGCTGTCAGCTTGCTAAGTGTCACTGTCAAGTTTGGCGAGGAATACAGTAAAATATAGCGCTATAAATGGGGGCTGGTAAAGTGGGCCCTAAGAGCTGCTTTAATTCCACAGTTTTGAAATTCAGTTTCACTCCGAAGAGTTTCTGTAATTTCCGCGTGGGAAGCCCAAAAAGTGCCTAAATTTACTAGCAATAATTATCGGAAGCACCCAATATTACAGTAATCAAAATTTTTATTTGATAAATCATGGTGTGTAAAACGTACCCTGTCGTGCGCTGAATGTTTTCTTCGCTTCTAAAGGAGAGTGTGTATATCAGAGAAAGATAAAAATACGGTAAAATAGTGCCCTGAAAATGCTTCTGAACTCATCTTTAAAATAAATAAAAGGCTTCAATTGATTCGTTATTGAATTATTGGCAATGAGACAGTGACAATGTTTAAAAGTTTCAAGCTATAAACTTAGACTTATGTTCATGTTATGCACTATTAAAGTGTCGTGTAAATGGGTCCACCAGGACAATATTGTGATTTGACGTAACACAAGCGTAACACAAGCGTTACACAAGCGTAACACAAGCGTTACACAAGCGTTACACAAGTGTTACACAAGCGTTACACAAGCGTTACACAAGCGTTACACTAACGTTACGCTAAGGTTAACGTAACGCTGCATCAGCCGGACTGAAACACTGCACCTCTCTGGTATTGTGTTTAAACTTTTAAAAGAATCAAAAGAGCGAGGTGCTAATATCTGACAATTAGACTTCAGCTGTGCTCTGAGTGAGCAGTGTAACCCTGTGTAACCCTGTGTAACACCCCGTTATTTCAGGAGAGAGTATATCATACACTGTACTTGTCAAAACATCATCATCATCATCATTAAAAACTCCTTCATCAAAACATTTACTCCTTCATCAAAACATTTACCCCTTCATCATGAGACACATTTCATTGTATTGCGTAATATGATGAATTGATTACATAATTAAATATATGGATATCTGATGTTACAACTGAAATCATTTCAGTGTGATGAGATGTGGCTTGTTGTCATTGACCAAAGCATACAGAGCCGCAAAAACATTTATAAAGGAGTAATCCGGTTTATTCCTGCTCTCAATTTGTGTGGTAAAATTTAAGCTTGATGAGGATATAAGAGTGTCCCTGGATAATATAATGTATTCTTACCTTACACTTGCAGTAACACATCAGGACTAGTAACATCACTGCCAACAGCACCCCAACTATTACCAGGACCAGCCTGGGGACGAATATCAATTATATAAGTTAGCTTCTTGATTATATAAATTAGTTTATTTATTATTTACTTATCCATTTAGATTTCAGAGTTTCGTACGGACTTGTTATGATGTGGTTTGAGAGATTACTTCAATAGGAGCATGTTATACATATTACACATGACAGGAAATTTAGGAACCAATATTTCCACGGTTATTCATTATATTATTTTATATCAAATGCTAATTTTAAACCAATTTTCTAAAGATCAAATTCCAAAACAGATTAGTTTATATAATCAATAATAATAATTTATTATTTTTAATAATTACACAAGAGAAAACACACTGCTGGCAACAAATACTGCTACAATCCAAAGGTAAATCTGGGTACCCTAGGAGACATAATAATGCAAATATCGGGATTTTTGTTTTAAAACACCCAAATTTTGACACTATGAAAAAAGTCTGATTAGCGATATTCTGCGGAATATGGTGATTAGGGTTATGGTTAGGGTTAGAGTTATGGTTAGGGGTTTTGCAAAAATCCCCAATTTTCGTACCACCCAATTATGTCTCTTACGTTTGCTAAAAAGTGTGGTAAAACTACAGGTTTGGAGGAACAAGATGTGTCTATTCTAGCCCTCTTTATATTCAACATCCGCATCCACAAACCCAGTGTAATCTGCAGTGAGCGAGTAAGGATCACCCGGACAAATGTAGTCAGGGAAGAGGTGGTGCTCAAGATACATGAGTACCATACACTCTTCACATTCCTCCACAAACTCTCCTGAGTAAGCGAACTGCATGGTCTTCCACTGCATTTTAAAACTGTAGTTTGGAGGCGTCACACCACACTGGGTAGCTGTGAAATCTTCTTGCATCAGATAGAAAGGGTCCAGTTTCTCTTCAAACAGGTTCATCCACCGGCCATTCTTGAAGTCAAACATTTTGAAGACGAAACTCCACTTCTTTTTGGTCGACTTAACAGAGTCAATAGCGACATCAACAGCCCTATCCATGTTCCAACAATAGGCAGCAGCCGCTTGGCTTGGAGAGCACGGCAAGGACTCCTCAGTGTACATCTCCAAAGTGCACAAACCAGGGCCCCTCACATTAGCCATTATAATTGGGCCATCTACCCAAAGCGTATTCATTGAGTCAGGTTTATCGAAGCAGCTTAGTCTTGTTCCGTAAAACTTCTTGTTGGTGGTTTTGGAGGTGCGTCTGCCATACGCGAACAAACCATAGTTATAACACAGGACTTGTGCTTCTAAATCGGTAAAACTATCGTCACATATCGGGTAGAAGCTTTCATCAGTTGCGTTGTACGCCACCACGGTTCTTTTCCCCTCCCGATCAGGGGAGGTTAACTCTATGTTGTGATCATAGATAGCATTTCCTGGGAACACAAGTTGTGGAGGGGTCGAAGAAGTATACCTCCCCCAATGGGTTTGTCGTTCGATGTCTCCAAGAGCCTGAGTTACCCTTGGTGGAATTGAGGTGGTGTATTTTAGTTCAGCAAGGTAAGGGAGGAGAGTGGTTATGGATATCAGTAACAGCAGTGACATCTGGGCAGCGACAACTTGAAAATTAGAGAAAATAAAAATATCCGTTTCGATTCTTTATTTCTAATAATTATGGAGGCGAAATTAGTCAATTTTCATCGTGCATTAATAGAACTTCGTAATAATATCACAAAATGTTGTCGACCTTAATGCTCATTCATAAAAGCTTTCGTTACTTAAAGACAATTACTTAAAGTGAATGCCCCTCTTAACTTGACTTAATCTATGAACTTCAACAAATACCACCTTGTTATGGATCATATTATATCCTGATGGTTTTATTTCACATGCTAAAACACCTTTACAGTATCATCAATTAACAACATCGTCACTCCAACCTATGCTAAGGTCAAAGAACAGATACACTGTGTCACAGAAAGGCATGATGAGCTACGTTCTTGTATCTCACTGTACAGTAAAACTATGCCTTCCTTAATTCATGCTTTTCAACGCGACCAAGTAGACTAATTTTCCTGAATTACCTAAGTAGAAGTGATGGTAGCGAGACACCAGTTTTATTGGTCGGACAGTGGTCACGTGACATTTCTTTTGACGTCCTGCTGTGTGCTTTAATATCTGACTCAATGGGTTCTCATTATAGCTAGTTCACTGAGTGAGTGTACCGGCATTAAACAATTTAACCTGCCTGAGGTCAACTCAGTGACCCATATTATCTAATGGGAGCGAGTTTACACCAAGTTTTATATTTTGGGATGTACTGAAGTCACTTTAGTCCCGGGAGATGACTTCAGAGGAACTTGTAATCTGGGGGTGAGGGCCGTTATGAAGAAGCAGCCACAAAATTGCTTATTTAAGTTTCAGAGAGGCTCAGTTGTTTAAGGCTTATAAGGAGTTTGTTAAAAGCTCTGAGATTTGAGAAACTGTACCGCTAAACTGGTCATTTTGTCGTGAAGTATTTGATAATGATTATACCCAAAAAGGAAATGTAAGTTGGTGTAAAATGTGTCCTGGATTTCTATTGTGACAAGTTAATGGTACATATATCCAGGTGATTTGAACGTTTTAGGTAAACGTATTTAGGTAAAGTGCAGGTTAAATGCTCACCTAATGGATATTGGAGTTTCTAGCACGCTGCTGTCTCGGGGACAGCACCCGAACCATTTCTTTGAACTGCTGCAACACACTTCCGCGTCATTACAACTGAAATGTGCTTTATCAACTCGTGCTTCACGATAACCACATGCTAACAAAAACAAAAGAATGTAATAACCTTAAAAGGAGTTACAACCTGGGATCTGTGTGCCTGTCCAAATTTACTGCCAGTGTTACTAGTACAGATAGTACAGATAGTATTAGTACTGTCTTTTACTACCGGTAAATAACTCGTTAATACTCAGTACTACCTAGCTCTCAGTACTACCAAGCTCTCGGTGCTACCAAGCTCTCAGTGCTAACAAGCTCTCAGTGCTACCAAGCTCTCAGTACTACCAAGCTCTCAGTGCTACCAAGCTCTCGGTGCTACCAAGCTCTCGGTACTACCAAGCTCTCGGTGCTACCAAGCTCTCAGTGCTACCAAGCTCTCAGTGCTAACAAGCTCTCAGTGCTACCAAGCTCTCAGTACTACCAAGCTCTCAGTGCTACCAAGCTCTCGGTGCTATCAAGCTCTCGGTACTACCAAGCTCTCAGTACTACCAAGCTCTCAGTGCTACCAAGCTCTCAGTGCTACCAAGCTCTCAGTGCTACCAAGCTCTCGGTGCTACCAAGCTCTCAGTACTACCAAGTTCTCAGTGCTACCAAGTTCTCGGTACTACCAAGCTCTCAGTACTACCAAGCTCTCAGTGCTACCAAGCTCTCAGAGCTACCTAGCTCTCAGTCACTCAGTGCAACCAAGTTGTCAATGCTACCAAGCTCACAATGCTACCAAACTCTTAGTGCACGATCTGATTCATTATGGTAGCTCATTCCTGCCAGGCCTTTGGTGCTGCCAAACTGTTATTTCCCACTCTGACTCACACTAAAGGTATTCCAAAGACCTGCTCATATCTCCACCAGGATACGGGACTCTCAGTAGGGGTGGTACTGTTGGGGTGGAGATTGGGGCAGCACCCCCGGTTTGTGGGGTTCTCTAACTCAGGACAACACCCCAATATACAGCACTCAGTAGGGTATGAAGGGGTCGAACAACACGACTTATCTACTTTACAGCTGTAATATATTAGTGACCAGTCAGCTCTCAGTAATATACAGTCACACTGACCATGAAGCTTAACACTGTGTGTTTTATTAAAGGTATATTCATAAGAGGGAGGGCAATGAGATCTTGATATTATAATATATATAATACAAATTGAGATTAAAATCATTGAAGAGATACTGTTACTTTTAAAGAAATTATACATACATTATTTCTTTTATTTAGAAATCTAACAATCATATTGGGTTAGATGTTAGATAATAAACTTACTAATATGTTTCTTTCTTTTTAAATGCATCCTCGTAATTGCTTTGACATGTTACATACGCAGTTACACTCTGAAATTTTGACTGTAAGCTATATAATAAGTATTACAAATGCAAAATTAATCTTATTAATCAATTAATGTATGGTACCTTGCCGGATCAGTTTCCCAACATTTTTTAAAGGCACTAAAAAGGAACAATTCAGTGAAAATGCAAACCAGACCGAATCAGAGAAAACTGAAGTATAGCAAACTGAACCGAACAGAACTGTCAGCCATAAAATTCAGAGGACACTCATAAATATGGCTAGTTTTTTATTATAAATCTACATTCGACTAATTTTGATGGTGAGACCTGGCTGTTGGGAAGGTGAAAACAGCAAACCTCTATCTACCGTGCTTCACCTACCAGGCCTATTTTACCCCCAAAAGTACTAGTTTAGTACTTATCTAAACAAGAAGCAAACATAAGTAAACAATTGGGATACCGTTTTTACCGAAAAATAACATCCTTAATATGTATTTGACACAAAAATGAGAAAAAGCCAAATATAATATACAATAGACGATAAGATAACTTAATTTTAATAATAATGTTGATAATTGAGCTTAATTTCAATAATAATGACTCACCGGGAAGCAGGAATATAGAATGCCGAGTATGAGCCAGGGACTGAACATCGCCTCCAATATCATGTCTACATTTCGTCTCTGTCTAAAAAGATTAATTATGAGAGCTCTGATCATTTCACTAAATTTTGTAGAGACTTCTGTCAATGATGCATCAAGCAAGTATAGTAGCTCAAAAGGGGATTTAGAATGTTTGCAAATTTAAAAAAACTGAACAATCAATGTAGTAATATATATATTACTACATTTTAGTTGTATATATATAATATACTATTACTATTTATTATATATAAAACTATTACTTTAAAAACGATTTTAAATTTTTTGGGAAAACCATACAACACTTTCGAAAGTTTGAAGCGCTGCCCAATTTTATCTATTGAACAGGTATCCATTTTCGTCTGTAAAATTATACTATAATATTTATAACAAATAATCTGGAACATTTATATTAACAAATTTAGGAGACCTCAAAGCTTGTCTTCTGGGGAATGAGGGTGACTGTTCATCTTTCTAGCTGATTGTCCCACATTCAAACGACGATTTGACCCCCCCCCCCCCCCCCCCCCCCCCCCATTTTCTTTCAAGGGTTGCATACAGTCCGACAGCAGCATTATCAAGTCGGCTTCATCCTGAGTGATTGCCTTCCTTTAGAATGATATTTGTTGAACAGGTAAAGGTTCAAGTGTGGATGTGGGAACGTATCCACGTTTATAATCAATGGCTTGGTAGATACTGTTACCAATACCACAGGCACATTTAGAAGGCATTCCATGGATCTTCAAACCATAAGGTAGATGTATGCTATCTTGGAACAGGGAATTCTTGCCTGTTCAGAACATATTTGAGGTCCTTCAGTGGTACTGTTCAGAGCCAGGTTGGGGTTCCCTTCTCTCTTTTTTGGTCAAGGTGGTTTTTTAGATGGTGCTCTAACTGACTCATTATGGAGCAACGTTTGGGAGATGATAGAGAAACCCCTCTTTCTGTTTTCTTACTTTATCTTTCTCTGCTTTCATCTTACCCAAATCCAGCTTGGTGATATCATGGTTTTGGTGGAAAACAGGTCATGCTGTTGCAACAGTATCAAAAACCTGCTCCTTATGTATCTGTTGAATGCATTCAACGCAGCCTCAATACCATACTCAACAGGTTTTTAGAGAACCACTTGCCTCTTTAATTAATGTGTTCTTTGATAGTTCTTGTGAACGATTTTATCATTATTCGTCTGAATACTTCAGCAATGCCAATAGCTCTGATATGACTCCAAGTAGCTTGTCTAAAGGAATCAAGCTATTTGCTAGAAGATCGCTCATCAACTAATATTGGTTGACTGTGTTATAATATATAAGTTATGAGATTATATGATTGTCATATTGTTGATTGATTGGCATATAACATATATTATAGCTTATGTAAAGAGAGAAGAAGTGAAGAAGAGAGACTAGGACTGAGATCCAGCGAGAGAGGAACTTCCCGGGAGTAGGCCCAGGTCAAGATTCATGCGAGATTGCGAGCTAGACTCATTGCTCAAAATTTGGAAATAAATGAGAAAACAGAAAAAGTTTAACTTAAAAGTTGAGGGACACAATAATTAGGAACTTAACGTGTATTTTATACACTTAACGTGTATTTTATCACTTGTTTATAGCGTGAAAACTTCGACGTAACGCGCGGGAGATTCGGCGAGATTTTGGTGAGTTTCCCATGATATAAATCTCGCACTTAAACTCGTGATGACGCAAGTTTAAGTGCGAGTCTAAAGTGTGCTTTTTTCAGCATTATTGGTGGCCTAGTGGTTAGAGCAACCACCCTCTGCGCAGGAGGTAACTTTTCAATGGAAAATATTCTGGAAATTCTCGGGAATCTAGGAGTATTTTTTAGAATCAAGCAGTTAACATGAACGCGCGAATATATATATACACAAATATACCGCGTGGCGTGACCGGTAAGCCTAATATCGCCGACAGCCTTGGCGGGTTCGAGACCCGCCAAAGATCGTTTTACTGGTACTTATTTTTTCAATGAAAAATTTGGCGATAGAGATAATTTTCAAACACAGTTTCAATAACAAATCAAATGATACGATTTTGAATGCATTTTAGATTATTAGGGTGTGCAAGCAGTTCTAGCATAATAAGTTTAGTTCAAGCATATCGTATTCTCTCGAAATAATCTCAGGAGATTCAGTGAAATGATAAATCAAGCAAGATTTTCTTGTGCCAATTTAAGGGTCATATCAAAGGATTAATTCCTGTGAATTTTGAAAAATATGCGTACAGTAGGCTTCACTCTCAGAAAGGGTGCAAGGAGGAAGGATCTGGAACAATTTTTGAGACACTTGTTTTAAGGAGTTAATTTTAGTACTAGTATTCGGACTACAATACAAGGGGCGAATTTCGTGCAGTTATACTGCAGTTTGACAGGGTATGCTGAACGAGGCCAAAAAATCCCCCCCCCCCCCCCCCCCCCCCCCCCGGTGACACGTGACAATCGCACTTTCAAATGCCCAAAATCCAGTCTCACCGCACTTTCTCAGCAATCTTGATAGGGGGGAGTAGGTGTCTCGGAGTCTAGTAGGAAGGTGTACTAGCCAGTGACTAGTAAAAGGTGTGCTAGCCTGTGACTAGTAAAACGTGTGCTAGCCTGTGAAGTGCGAAGGACCTCTGGATAAGTTCAAGGAACACCCGTAAGTCCTTAGTCTAGGTTTTATCTCTTATACAGTTTCATGATAGTTGTAGGTTTATTTATTTCTTATGTTACAGATGATTCATACTAATTGTATTTCTTATGAATCATATTTCAGGTGTTTTTTATTATATTAGTGTAAGTGTATTGGAGAGAAGAAATAGGAGACAACTAGTAGAGGCTTCTTTCCATTGATATCATTAGCAACTCATGAAAAGCCTGGATGTAATGCCTCGTGCATCGACAACATCATTACAAATGACCTAGACTCTGTTACTGCCTCTGGAGTCATAACTGATCACATATCTCATCACCTCCCTATATTTACAATATTTGACTGGGAAATTAGCAAGACCAAAAATATTCACAAGCACACTCAATATTATGACTATTGTAAATCAAACACTGATAAATTTGCTGAAGTCTTGGGTAACAAACTAGACAATGAACCAATTATAGATTTTACTAACTTTCATGATATCTTTAAAAACAGCATTGATGAAACCTGCAAACTAGCTGTACCAAAAACCACTAAGCGCACTATCCAGAACAACCCATGGATTACTGGCAGGATTATAGCCTCAGTAAACCACTGCCATGGGCTGTATGATGACTGGGCGAAAGTCAGGAAAGTTAAGTGTAAACAAGGCGAAACTGACACAAAAGGGGGCACATGCCTGTGTTCTATCTGCTGTAATAAAAGAAACCGTTTAAATGATGACTACAAAGAATATAGAAAGGCTCTAAAAAAGGTTCGTAAAAAAGCTGTATCTGAATATTATTCTGACAAGTTTCTTGAAACTCAGGGAAATTCCAAGAAAACCTGGGAACTGATAAATAAAATTCGTGGCAAGCAGAAACGTGATATCAGACCTATATTTACCATAGACAATGAAAAGATAACTGATCGCAGAGTTATAGCTAATGAATTCAATAAGTATTTTGTATCCCTAGCATCTAACCTTAATGCAGCCTACACAGAACTAGGAGAGATACAAATAAATCAGCTTCCAAGTTTCTGTGACTTCTTACTTAAATCGAATACAGCTAATATATATCTACATGACTGCTCACCTGAGGAGGTGGCTAAGATCATATCGGAACTTAAGAATGGCAAGGCTAGCGACATACCAGTACATATAGTAAAGGCAGTATCAGGCAAAATTAGCCCACTACTATCGGTATTGTACAACGAATGTATGCAACAGGGATTTTTTCCAGACGACCTAAAAGTAGGTAAAATAAGTCCAATATATAAGAAAGAAAATGCTGAGCTTCTTGAAAATTACAGGCCTATCTCAACCTTAGCGATATTCGGTAAAATACTTGAAAAAATCATATTCTCCAGGCTTTACAGTTTCTTTCAGTCGCAAGGATTATTATATGAAAATCAATATGGCTTTAGAAAAAATCACTCGACAAGCCATGCACTCAACTTCTCTGTCGACTACATTGAAAAATCTTTAAGAGATAAAAATCACGTACTAGGCATCTTCATTGATTTAAGTAAAGCTTTTGACACAATCTGTCATGATAAACTGCTTAAAAAACTGAATGATTATGGAATTCGAGGGACTGCAAATAAATTGATAGCCAGTTACCTTTCTAATAGACAGCAATATGTTTCAGTACTTGGAGAAGAATCCGAAAAACTGTCTGTAATATTTGGTGTTCCTCAGGGGTCAGTGTTAATAAAACAAAAGTTAATAAAACAAAGGTCCCTTGCTTTTCATTATCTACATCAATGAAATATATAGAGTATCAGACCTAGGTAAGTTTATACTTTTTGCCGATGACACCAACATATTTGTTGTAGATAAATGTATAAAAACACTTTACTGCAAAGCTAATAAAATTCTTAAACTTGTTCATCAGTATATGAAGAGTAACTTGCTGCATATCAACATAAAGAAATGTTGTTATATCCACTTTAAGCCGAACTGTAGAAATGAACCAGATTCAAACACCAATGAATTAGAACTGACACTAAATAATATAGTAATTAAAAAGGTGGAGGAAACTAAGTTTCTTGGAGTCATTATTGACCAAAAACTGAACTGGGATGCTCACTTAAGAGCGTTAAACCGTAAATTGAAATGTGAGATAGGTAGACTATGTGGAATTAGACGCTGTGTACCTAAAAAACTATATAACCTGTACCACACCCTTTTTGAATCACACCTATGTTATGGAATATCTGTTTGGGGAGGTGTATCAAATAATAAACTAGAAGCCATATTTAAAACACAAAAGAAATGCATAAGAATTCTCTTTGGTGATAATGATGCATACTTCAATAAGTTCAAAACATGTGCCAGAGTAAGGCCTATCACTAGGGATAAGACCGGTAAAGTTATCAAGCAGATGTTAGGCAAAGATTTCTTTGAACTAGAACACAGTAAACCAATCTG